GAGAGAGAGAGAGAGAGCTCGAATGTATGAAAAAGAATGAAAGATATACGAAAGGTCGCGATATGTGAGGAATAATATAGACAAGTACATAACGAGTTATTTTCGATAGAAATCCATATTGGACAATATTTATAAGAGCACCGTGGAATGGGCATATAATATTAAAATTATAAATAAGATATTTCTTAATTAGTATACTTCATATGCTTGGAATTTTTATTGATTAAAAGAACAAACGTTTCAAAAATAAGTTTTACATACTTCGAAATTATAAAGTATTTAAGAAATAGAAAAAGTAGAATCAAATATTATACAGAATAAACCATTCGATCGAAAATTTTATTATTATAAAAATCACAATTTTCCAGATAGAAATTATTCATCTTTTTCTATATTCTATCGTTAAATAAGTTGTTTAAAATTCTTTTAATTTGCTTAAAATATATATGTATCTTTAATTGTTTCTAATCAGAAATTTTCCAAGTTAATAGTGAAGTATACTTTTGGAAATATCGTGGGTATGGGCAAATATCGTTCGACAAAGAGCCAGAGAGAGAGATAGAGGAAATTATACGTATAGCCAATTATCGAGTCCTTTATCTTTACCTTCCTGTTCTTGTACCCGCTCCAATTGTCCCTCCAACAATATTCTTCGGCAGTCCACAACGAAGGAAATCAGTGCTTCGATATCGTAAAAATTATTTCCAATCGATCTTCGCTATTGTGTGAATATTTATTAAAAAAGAAGAAAGAAAAAAGGAAAAAAAAATCGAACGTTTACTAATGCATCGAAAATCAATTATCATGTATCAACAATGAAAAAACTTTATAAAGATTAATTACGAAATATCGTTTAATGTAACTTCTTTTTCACGAAGAAAAAATATTTTAGAATGAATGGGAAGAAAATCATCGAAGCATCGAAGGACACATCGCGATGATAAGGAATATGCTGAGCTTATTGAATATAATGCGAAAAAAATTCACAGATATTATTGAAATCTATATTTAATTCGAAAATATCGCAGTGTCCTTAGCGTTTTAGCTGCGTAATGGAAAATTGTGAATCATAAATGGAAGGGAAGAGATAGTAGGAGGGTACTAATAATAAGTGCCAAGTATAGAGGTTAAAAAAAAAAGGAAAAACGAAAATTTTCGAAGATGGAATTTTAATCCTTTGTCTTCCGTTTTGATGATTTTTACTACCTCCATTCCAATATAGTATTGATCAATTAAGTGGATTAAAAAATTTAAATTAATTTCTGAATCATTAAATCTTTTTAATTCAGATTCAATGTATTTTATATCAATCGTATTGATCTTCTAATCAAATTAATAAGAAACTTTAAATGTATTATTGAAATGAAGAAATGAAGAATTAAAATCTTCATTAGACTGATTGGTTTTGATCTTGAGAAATAATGATACAATATAGGAATTCAATGGAAAGATAATACAAGTCTATAATTATATTATTTTAAAACATAAAATGTAATATTTATCAAAAGAATTTTTTTATCAATTTTAAAATTTTTAAGAATACAGAATGAAAAAGAATTTAAGAAAAAGATTTAATTATAATACCATAAATATAGAATATAATTTTAATAATTTTATTCGATTGCAATAACTGTGTACATAATTCAATATTTTTAATCTACGTTTTAATTGTTTAAAAGTATATTTATTCATACATTCGCACATTCACATTTTTCTTTCAAATTAAAATATAATATTACTTGTATTATCTTCTTTGATCTTCTTATATATAAATATATAATTATATAAAATTAATAATATTGAATTATTAAATAAATAATCAATTGAAATTATCAATCAAACAATCAAACGTTCAAAATATCGCCAAGTTGGTTAATTCAATTAACAGGCCAATTAACAGCACATATAAAAATAATTTAAGTCTTTTTAAACAATTTGAGTTTCTCAAAGGATTGAAATTCCGATCTTAAGAAAATGAATGCGTTGTCTTTGTACAAATTAGGCAAAAAATGTTTCGGTTTGAAAATCGAATAAATGAGTGACGATGTAATTTATTCGATGTTTAAACCAAAGATTAAGAAGGGAGAACAGACACGGAAGTTATATGAATAAAGTAAACGAGTTATATGTCTGTTGCCGATGATTAAAGAAATATTAGTGAAAAAGAGAGTGTAAGAAAGAGAATAAGATATGAATTAAAAAAAAAAAAGCGAATTAATGTAATGATGATACGATTACGTTCCACGTGTAAATTTCGATGAAAATTATATTTTCGAGCGGGGGTACCGTTGTAGACAATACTTTGATAACAAAAAAGAAAAAAAAAAGACAAAAGGAGAGAGGAAGAAATATGACGAGGATGAAAAAAAAATTTTTCTTCAGCAAGTAAATTGTCCGGTGCTCCCGAGAGAAAAATATGGTTTATTTTTTCAATACTCACGATGGTGTACATAGAACTAAAACGCGTTTACATTGGTGTAAACGGTGCTGTAATAAGAGAAAAAGAAAATATACAAATATGCGATAAATATTGAAATTAATTGAACGAATCGATTCGAACGAAGTGTAGAAAAAAAAGAAAAAAAAGGGATGATGAGAAATGAAAGAGAGATGCTAATTAGTGATTCTTTGATTATTTTTTATAATTATTTATTTGAACAAAGAATGCATTTTGTTCTCTTTATTAAAAAAGGACATTTTTAATCTTTTACGTTAGATTTGTTTTTCTCTTGAATTGAAGATTTTTTTCGACATCCTTTGAATCAAATATTTTACATTTTAAGATCTGTTAGACTGTGCGTCGGTTGTGAAGAAAACGAAATGGGAAGGTAAATATGTGTAAATAAAAATTATAACATTATAAAATAACATCTGAACTTTGAACGATTGAAATCTTTTTGTCATGCGTTTCCTCGATTTTCGATAGAAACTTCAAGCAAAGTATTAAATATTGTATTATTATTACTTTCTTCTTGAATTTTTTTCATCTGGTTATTAAACTTTTCCCGATTTATGAATCACAACGTTTTCACTTTCCTAAAAATTATGAATTAATGTTATAAAATTGAAAACGTTAATATAATATAAAATCTCAGATATAATGTTATAAATGCACTGCGAAAATGTCTTCTGAAACTTTTGAGAATTTTATGGAATGTAATAATATATATGTTTATTTCTGTATGATACGTATATATAAGAGAAAAACAGAAGGAAAATACAAATCTGTGAAGGAACCTGTGTATAAATGTAACTGTATTAGCGCGTGTATGTACATTTAAGCATCGACCTGTATAGAGAAAAAGAAAAAAAGATATAATTATAAAGTATATAATGATCTTTATGGACGAAACGAGTGTCTTCGAATACACGCTGAATCCTCGAGACACGGTATGTAAGCCTTGATAATAAAGACCATGTCTTTTTGGAAATTGTCATCCGTGTTCTTCGAATTTAACTTAATTATAAATTACTAAAAAAGAAAAAGAAGGAAAAAGAGAGAAGAGTAAATACAAATGGGAAAAGAAATAATAATTGTTTATTTTACTACTTCTATACATTGGTACCTGACATAAAAAATTTATCACTAATTTATATTATTTCTAACTTATTTTTGTAATAATTTTTTCTATTAATTCTTTAGTTTTTATCGATAAGCCTTTTTAAATTGAATCAGTGTTTCATAAAATTAATTAACAGAATTGTATAATTATCTTATCTTTCTTAAGACATTTTATTTAAATTTCACAATTCGCTATTTTCCGCTTTTATCTCAGATAATTCGCAATTTTTAATTTACATAGTTTTATATTTTCTTACAGCCAATGAGTATCCTTCTCTATTCAAAATCTTTTATAATTCCTTATCTATTAATTTCCTTATTTATCTATCAGATTAAAACTAAATCGCAAGAATTATTCCAGTCTTTAAACCTCCATATTAATTTCTCTTTTTTTTTTTTCTTTTTCTTTAGATTTTATACAGTGAATACTTCTCAAATCATTCACCAATAAAGATAATTTAAATTTAAATTGTGATGTTGAAGTATTAAGCCTTGCATTCTGCAGTTTACACAATGTTTACACAAGTTAGCTCTCAATCTTCCTCATTTAAAGATACATGTCCAAGTTCTCGGAATCACGAGATCCCAGAAATCGTCACGAGTCGATGGACAATTAATTCTGGCGAAATACTCCATGCAATACAAGCTGACCAATACTCCATTGCCCACGCTCAGGCTGAACCAGAGGAACACGTTTCCGGCTGATTTTAATACGAATACCACCGTGAGACCGACAACACCGAACAATAACAATAATACGGGATAAAAGAAACGAATGGAGAAGCTGAGGATGTACTCGTGTATGATGGACGAGATGGCGAAGACCATGCAGACGGATAGTGTCTTGTTCCTAGGTGTCAAGATCTCGTACATGTCCTTGTAGATGTAAGTGTACAACCAATCGTGGACAACGATGTTCCAGGTACGATAATAGGCGCTATAGCAGATGGAGTTCCACCAATCCTGTAAATATATGGTATGATATGATTTTTTTTGATGTTTTGTCACTGTTAGATTTGGATTTTATTTTATCTGATTATTAATTAAATGATAATTCATTACATGTTCAATATTTTGTTTAATATTTTAAACAATTTCATTTCAATGTTCAGGTTTGATTATTATGAACGTAGAGTCCTTGAATCGATAAAGATTTCATGGAATGGAAAGAAAGTTGTGATAGATTGAAAGGAACGATGATGAAATATGTAACTATAGACTTGGATTAATGACTCGGTGTATTGTAATTTGGATGACTTAGCTCTTGAAAAATTTCTTTTATGAGATTTTAGAAGCGTGTTTTTCATGTTTTGGAATTTGAAGGATTCGGTGATTTTTGCAGAATGTGATGAGGTAATTTTATAGATATGATGTATGAAAATGGATAAAATTTTGATTGTATAGAATGTTGATGCTATTAACGTTTATAAGATAGATATGATGTGGATTTAAATGGATAAATATTTAATTTTGAGTGCAGAGCGTAGATGCATTAACATGTATATAATTTATTAAGAAAATTTAAGCGATTTACTTGTATAATTTTGAATAAGAGAAAAATTTTGATATAAAGTTTGTATTGAAAATTCCTATATTTTTGTTTATAAAATTAAAATTAATCAATTTTTTGGTTTAAATTTATAAATATTTTTCATATTATTTTATATAAAATATTGAATAGAATATCTTTTCTTTTAATTAATTGTATGTATATATAATTAAATTAAATATAAAGAAAAAAAAAATCATGAATGAAATTAGATTTTAATAGAAAAATCTCTATGTTTCAAAATTAAAACAAATTGCTTAAATTAAACTCAAACTTACTTACTTTATAAAACATTTTGTCCGCAAATCGCAATAGTTCAGCGAAAGCATTCATCCAACAGTGCAAAAGAAGATAAAAGCCGCAGAGAAACATAAGAATTCCGGGCAACATCGAGCCAAGAATATTAAGTGTGAGTGTTCCCAACTCAACCGGTTGTTTCCCAAATTCTCGGTAATTTGGATATAACAAACGTTCGTAGAGAAGCGCCACGAAAAAGATAATTGTTAATACTTCAACGAAATTGGTCAGGACAATGTTCCATCGAATCTTTTTCGCTCTAAACAGTACAAATAATCATTTACAATTTATTTTTTTGGTTGAATTTCAAAATTATTATTACAGTATTTTTACATTGAAAGTGACAATTCAAAAATATTAATTTCTTTTCAAAATTCTAAAAACAATTTTAAATATAATATATATTTTGTCAAATTACATTTTAAAAATTTTTAATTAATAATAATGATATTTCTGACATGATTTAATATCATATATAATATCATGTAATAAAATAAATAATAATTAAAACATTTTTTGATATTATTATCATAAAATATCTTTTAATATTTTGAATTTTTATCTTAAAAGGAAATTCATATATAATGAAAGTAATAAGATACATCTCTTGATACTTATTAAAACCATCAATTATTACATGTTTGAAACATTGATAACATGATGATAATAATTATCAGTATAGTACATATGTATCATTTGATATTTAAACAGGAGAAAAACATTTAATGATATAAATAATTCTTTCTAATAAGCTTGAGTAATCCTATATATTCTTTATCATTATTTGTGTCTTGATTTGATTTGTTATCTTAAAAGAAAAGAATTAAAAAATTATTTTATTTGAGTACATGTTCATTGAAATGTTTCTATTAGAAAAAGAAAGAGAAATATTCATTATAAATATTTTTGTTTTAAGAAGATTATTAGTTTTTTTTTTAATTTTAATTGAATGAGTATTCAAAAGAAATGTATATTTCATTATAGATTTTATGAAGTATAATATATATCTTTTTTCTAGACAATTCTTTAATTTAATTTAAGTAAGTTCTAATAATTATTTAATAATAATATTATATTTTTGAACTTACCTAGGATATCTGTCTTGATAAATCAGCGTTGGCACAAACAGGAAATAAAGATATTGAGAAAAATCAGGTAGCCGTGGCGTTGATGTATCTGTATGAGGTTTGTATGATAAGAATCTTGGTGCAACACTCCTCACAAAGGCATGAGTTTTCATCACTAATCGAATCTAATAAATAGTAAAAAAAAAAAAAAAAAATAACATTTTTTGTTTTTAATTTATGTTGTTAAAATTAATTATTCAAAGTTTTTTGCGAAGTTTGCATCTAATGATGAAAAAATTTTTATAATTTGATCTCGCTTTATGAAAGAAGATTTCTTGGATATAGATCAAAATGAAATAGTTTAAAAGTTGAAAAAGTTTCAGACTTAAATTGTTAATTTTTTTTGTTGTTTAAGTTTTCAGTACAATTAATAAAGTTAATAGAACTTTTAACTTTTAACTTTTTAACTTTCAAAAGTACAATAATAATCCTCATTCGATGAAGAGGATTTTTATTTCTTATTTCAAAATATATGATGAATTAAAATAAAAAGTTCATTTTTAATCAGCTTACTGTTCAAATATTAGATCTTCTATTACTATTTATTTTATTTAGTGTAAATATGATTTAAAAAAATAATATTTAAAAAATCAAAATGAAAAATCAGATCAACAAAAATTTCTAATGGTAAATAAAATTAATGGTAAATTATTTTACTAAAATAACGAGAATAGATCAAATTTTAAATAAATTATTGAATACATATTAAACATTAAAATATTTACTTGCTCCATAAGAATGATCATGCTAGACGCCAATGGCAAGTCATTATCGAGTACAGCTCTGGTAGGAAGTATGAAGAACAAGGTCTGATAAAGAACAATGCCTGCCAGCCATCCATAATCCCATATTTTTCTGGTAAATGCTACAAAATTGAATATTAAGTTACATTTTTACTAAATTAATAATAAAAAATTTTTTGTTCATGTTCCATATTAGAAAAGTTGTTGCGGAATATTTTATCACGGTTTTTATCAATGAAGAAAATTGCTACTCTTTAATAAGTTTAATTATTTCTTAAATTTATTAAATAAAAAAAAATAGAAAATGAAGAAAACAAATGTAATTTTAATATTTAATTATGATATTTCAATTTATAAAATATTTCTAAAATTTAGGCACTATATTTCTAAAATTTAACAGTTCCTTGTTTTTTGAATAATAAGTTTCAGTGAAAACACCATCTGTAGAATCATGTTTTGAATTTTATTTGAATTGCATTTGATTGTATGTTTGCTTCAAAAAGAAGTGAATCGAAATTGACATACACTTAGGCGAATACTGAAGACGACGAGTAGCCCAACAATAGAAAGCAGCATAAACTCCCAGAACTGAAATTTTCATAAGGGACCAAACATATAGTACTACTGGAAATTTGGCAAAGCCAGCTCGTACTGTGTCTATACCAAGATTAGGTCTAAAAAAGAATTATACTGGTATTAATCAATTATTTTTATTATTTTATTTCAAGATATTATTCATCCTAATCAAAATTCGAAGCTTTTTTTTAACTCTAAACTATTCAAAATTCTAATTTTTTTGACTTTTTTTTTTATTAATAATAGTATATTAATTTTAGGTCCACTGTTTTAAATTTTTCAAATTTTTTTAAATTGATTCTTAAAAGATTTCTTTAAGAATGAAATATTGAAATACCAATTAAAATAGGATATTATATATATTCAAGGATATTATAATTTTTCTATAATTATTTTTTAAATAATGATTTTATAGATTTTTTGAATAATTTGTAAAATTTATCAGAAAATAATGATATAAATTGTAAAAGATAGAGTGCAGTACTTGTGTACTTACGAGCCCGTGTGTCGAATATCGTATACGGCTGTGTGTATTAAAAGAATTATCAATGTTGCTACGAAAAGATTATAAAGTGTTCGAATATGTTTGATTTCGTACAAATCAGTCAATAAAGAATTTCTTTGAAGAAATTGCTTGGTGGGCAAAGTATTTTCTCTCGTTGATTTTCTGCAAAAGAATTATTAGTACATACAATTAATTTATTTGTAATAAAAATATCAATAATATGAATTAATCAGTATGGATAATATATTATTTTTATTTTATTAATTATTGTTTATTTTTATTCATAATCAAATAATTTATGTTAAATCAAAATGGGAATATAGAATAATGCGAAAAGAAAAGAAAAATATAAATCGATAACTCTTAACAACAGCTTTAAGAATTTCAGTACATGTGCACCTAAATTCAATATACATACATCACTTTTTATCATTTTCATGATGACATATAAGGATAAAAAATTATGATAACATAAAAGAATGTTATTTAATCTTTCATCTCTTAATTTTGCCCACTTATCTATATTTGAAGTTTAAAGTTCTCTTATCGTTTAAATATTTTATTAATATATGAATTTTCTAAGAGAATATTTATTTGTATATTATTTATCGAGCATTTCGATCATATTACAAATACAATATTTTAAATTTATTTTTTCACAAGTTCATTATATTTTTACATAATCATATTTTCATATTTTTAATTTTTCAATTTTATTAACTTAAAAATTTCTTAAAATAAATACATGTGTTTATTTTATCTTGATGAAATTTTCAATTAAATATCTAGTTCTTTTCATATTAAAAATTTTATTCGATTATCTATATTTACATAAATGATTTTATCATGAAATATAAAATTTATTATTAAATATTGGCAATTTATGTTAGTTTTCTTTCCATTTTTTTATTCTTCGATATTATTTTTCATATTTTTGGTATAATGTTATTTTTTTTTGTATGTATATTGTATACAAACATAACTGGTAAAAGTAAATGTTTGTTCAATCGGGTCAAAGCGGTTAAGTACTCGTGTACTGAATGGTCTTGAAACTAGATTTGTTTCACAGCCAAACGTTCATGTGGATTACTCATGCAAAAATTATTGCCTAACTTTTTTCAGAGAAATTATTACACTACTTCTTTTTTACCATTATGTGAATAATGTTCTTTCTCACTAATGTTATATATTTTAAATATTTAAATGAAACTAAAATTAAAAAAAAAATTCTATTTTTGAAACATGAAATTAATTTTTCACATTTAAGAAATTGAATTTTTAAATATTTTATCAAGAATTTTGAATCAATATTTCTTTTTTTCTTTGATTTTAATTATATTTGTGTTCGCATCAAATATAATAAATTATTTTAATTAATAAAAAAAAAAAAAATTCGAAATAAATTATGTTTGATTATGAATATACTTTTGAGAGACAAATTTGAAATAACATATAGTAAAAGTATACAGTAAAAAAATTACAATTAGCATATTATATAGTGTAAATTGATAATAATATGAGAATAACACCAAGGTTTAAAAGCGATTATATAATTACGTTCTGTTAGAGTATTTATCCGAGTCAACCAGATCTTTCAACTCATTCGAAGCGATTCTGTTTGCTACTTCCGATACCATATCATTCATTCGATTATTGACAAGCTCTAAAATGTCTTGCCTGATTTCCTGTGGAAAAAAATAATAATATTCTATATTTATTTATCATTTATTTAGTCTACAGTATTAAATAGTCGATCAATTCATACGAATAACGTTTCTAATTGATACTTTAACACTTTTACAGCAATCATTTTATATTTTAGATCAAGAGATGATTGAATGATAATGATAATTTACGAATTTAAAAATTCAAAAATTCAATATTCTAAATTATTGCTATAAATAATACAAAACTTATTATAAATAATAATTTGTTTTTTCACACCTGCATCTGTCCTTGCAATTCACTGAAGATAATGTCACGCATCAAATTTTTCTTGGGCTTGGCAGTCTCCATCTCTGTAAACACAATTTTTATTTTTCATCATTTTAATTATATTGATTAGATTCATCTATATTAGATTCATTATCAAAATATAATTGTCTTGTATACTTCAGGAAGAAAAATTTTATATTTACAATAATATACGAGATTAAATATCTCATTAAATGATATAATATCTTAATTAACCTGCCTCTTAACAAATATTTCTTTACAAACAGATTCATCCTAATAGAAATTATGAAATAATATTTTCTTTTCTCTATCATGAATTTTCGATCACTTTTATAAAATTTAAGGAACATCTTCTAAGTACGATATCCTTTTTTAAGAACAATAATATTGATATCAATTCAATTTAGCACGTACCTTGTTTCTTCACATCCTTCACATTTTCGCTCGGATTCTTATTCAAAACGTGTTGTTCCACAGTCACGGTTCGTTGTTCCATTTTTTCCTTTTTAAATCTTTTATTCAACTATTTATCATCTCACATTTATTCAATCTTTTCATATACGAAGAAATCTCAATCGCAAAATATACCATCGGCAGGAATTCATTCATTCATAAAATATTAATATAATTTATTCGAACAGATATCACGAAATCTTATATTCAACACGAAAAATCTCCAATAAATAAAATTTATTGAATTATACACTGAACATTTTTTACTTGTTTCTTAAAATCGATTCGAAAATGATGAAGAAAATTTATAAAAAAATTGTTTAATTTTTAATTATCGATGAAAATGAATCTTCGATTATTGGAATCGATTATAAACTAACTTTAACTTAAATTCAAAAACGAGTCGATTTAAAAGATAGGGGAAGAACGTTTACGCTGTGCGAGGCGCGAACTGCTACTGAACCATCCGACCGGATCGAGAAGAGTATTAGAAACAGGCCGAGTCGTTTCAATGCTTATCGAATTTTTCAGTTGATCGCGCCGCGGTAGTCACCCGCGTTTCTTTCGTTCAGAGTCTCGTCCTTTGGTACATGCAAGTGCACGCGTACTCATGACTCGTTTCCATGTTACCGTCTCCCCTGATTAAGTAATTGCAACAGCGGTTTGCGGCTCGATTGAACTTTTGCTGAATTTATCGCATTCGTGGCACGAACAACGTTGAGATGCGAAGATGTGCAATTGAATTTACAGATTTCAACATATTGTTGGAAATTTTGAACTTAGAGAGATTAAGAAAGTTCGTTCAAGAATTTTCGAATGTCGTAACTATTTTCATAATTCGGAAATTATATAAAAAATTTTGAATGAATTAGTGATGATTTTGAATTTAGGAGACTTACTTTTAATTTTAATTAGTATGATTTTGATATAAAGAAAATGGTGGAAATATAAAAATGAAATTGTTATTGGTTGACTTTTGTCTTAATTCATTTCTAATAAAAATCTTAATTATTATCTCTATTAAATTTTACATAATAATCTTACGTATTATAATAAAAATATAAAAAATTATATAAATAAACTATATATGAATTTTATTAATGCTACGAATACAAAGTATCGAATAATTTTTTTATAATTGCAAGTTCAAAATACTTAAATATTTAATTATTAATTCATGTAATTTTTTACAAACTTAATTCATGAATCATAAAATATTTATTTATGAAATTATTAGAAATATATTTGCATAAATATAGAAATTTTGAATCATTAATAATTTTTCTTTTATAATTTAAATCAATAATAAGCAAATATCTCAATACTTATGAATGAGAGTGTATTACGTACATTTTATAATAGTTTATTAGTATGACGATGTTGTTCTTGGAAATGAATTAGTCAGACTAGAATCGACATTATTAAATTAACAACAAGTTTTGTTTCAAATAATTTTTTCAAATAAAATTTTAATTTTATTTTTTATTTTCTAGATTACTTTATATTAAGTAATATTATAATTTATATAATAGTATATTTGAAAGATAAATTATTTTAATATTTATCATTTTATTTGATACTTATTTGTTTACTCGATTTCATTATAAAAATATATCTTTTTTTCTGTGGTAACTATTAAGATTCATTTCTGTAATATTAGATTTATTGCGTATTAATTTAAACTTCAATTCATATAATATTACTAATTACTGACTACTAGGATTGTTTTTTCGTTTTATTTGAAGATTTTGAATAATAAATAAATGAAATAAAATCATTATTTGGAATAACTTTTATTTATTGGTATTTGCTCATTCATTGAGAAGTATCATTTTTATTGTTCTTTGTTTCCTTTTGTGAAAGGAGAATGTAAGTTTTCTGCGAAAGAGAAACTTATTGTTAGGAAGTTTTAAAACAGATAAATTATTGTTGTCATAAAAGAGTCAGAATTTTTAAATTATGTTTCCAGGAAAAATAAAGAAACCAGTTGTAATAAATAACATTATAAAAAATGATCTTTATAAACAGAATTATTTAAAAATAATTTTATTTAAAAAGAATAACTGAGAATTTTACAAAAATTAATTACTAAGATAATTATTTTTTACTTCATCCAAAACAGAATCTTTTTTTATTTATACACAGATACTTCTAACTATAATTATAATAATATTATTTCAACAATATATTATAACAATATTATTGATTAATTCAATGCATTGAAATGAACATATTTATACGATATTACCATAAATATCATTTTGATATAGTGGCAGTATAACAGTTCATGATTCGAAGATTAATTTCATGAATAAACAGATTGTAAAATTGCACAATAATGTTTTTGAACGAACATGTTAAGATATTTTATATTAAATGAAAAGTATCGAAAAATATTGTAACGTTGAAAATGTGTGTATGTCAAATTTGACTTCTTATATATTTATCAAGAATTGGATTTTATATAATTTCCGATATCATTAATAATATGTTCTACTTATTATTAACTTCAATATACATTTGACTTAGGTTAAAGATCATATAGATCAAATAGTTATATTATAATGTTTACAAAGTATAATCATGGATTGGAATCGCTTATTATATTTAATGCAATTCTCTTGAATCAAATTTTTTTTAGTTCGTACATTTTTAATTTATCATTGACGTTGAATTTTATTTTTTCCTAAATTCTATTCCAGAATATAAAAGAAGTAGAGTTTAAGTTAATTTATAATATTTTTTCATTTGTAATTATGCAAAAATTTCATAAATTCCTAATATAATTGTTAATATTTATTGAAAAAATTAAAATAATAATAAAAATAAAATTTCAAATTTCAAATATCTTTCTAATTAAATTTTTATATTTTGTACGTGTTAATATGGAAGATTAATCAACCAATGGAAAGTAAAAAGAATGATATATTTTGATAATACGAATACGTAGATAAATAGATATGATTAGAAAAATAATTAAGATTTAAATATGTGCTAAAATCTATTGAATGAACAAAACAATTATTATCGTTATATTTGATTAACAATTTGCTGACACATGAAAAGACATTTGTTATTGATGGTGAATACGAACAATTGTTCATACAAATTACACAGTTCATTAAATATTAGAGCGATATGAATCGTAGATTGAATGAAATTCTAATCCAAACGATTATAGTTATTAATCAGTTTCAACTAAGAAACTCATTTGATATTTATCAAAACAAAATCTGGATTAATCTTACATTTTCTTAATAAAATTTTCTCAAAGTTTTTTAATTGTTTTAAATTAATTTTTAATTTAGATAAATGTTAAATAATCTTTTCTTCTTCTCAAAAATTAAGAATTCATTTCTTCATTGAAAAAAGAGAAAAAAAAGAGATATTAAAATATACAAATTTGTGTATATTGAAATGTAAATTAATTATTTGTATTTTTATATGTAAATTTTATAATATACAGAATATATTTATATAATATATTATATATAGTATATTAATTAATAATATACAGAAAAGTGAGAATTGAAGAAAATGCGAAGAAGGCTGTTATCACAGAAAAATCTTTTGTCTGAGTTATTACTTGATATTATTGAATTTAATAGTTTGAAGACTAAAACATCAGTTATGAGCTAAGAATGAGAAAGCAGAAAATCCATTGGATCGCGCGAATTTCATTTCAGTTGTGGAAAAAGAAGATAAGAGAGATTAATCTTTTGCACTATTTCAAATATATTTTTTACAGGAATGATGAAACGTTCAGAAACTAATATAAAAATTCCATGTTGTGTATTAACTCAGATATTATTGTTTTATTTCATTCAAATCTCGATATAAATTTCATTAATCTTTTTAATGAAGATAGCACAAGTGTTGAATAATTTTATATTGTACGAGAAAAGATATATTTCAAATATGATGAATTATATCATTGCTAAAATTTTCTACGATTGCAAAATAATTTTTTTGGAAAAGATTTTGTAAAAATTCTTTGAATAATAAAGAAATAAAAGTTTCATATTTGTTAATTTTGCTTTTGAATTTTTAGATCAAAAATCTTCTTATAAAACAGAACCAATTGGCGAATGATAAATCTTTTTAGTGTAAAGAAATAAATTATTATATAAATTAATGAAACTTTGTTTTAATTAAAAAAAAGAAAAGAAATAGTAACTACAAAAAATGACAAAGGAAAAAATATTATTCTTTTTTCCAAAATATTATATATTTGTTAATTTTTAAAACATTTTTGAAAAGAAATTCTCAGAAATTAAAAAATGAAATTCTTTGAAATTATAAATTTTCATACTGAAGATGGATTATAGAACAGATAATTCGTCTTCGTCTTTCGTCTTCTCAATTTCCATAAGAAAGATAACAGACTAACAATAGGAATAATGGTCTTTATATGTGGCTTCGCAATAAGATTCAGTGGTGGTCGCATTTATCACGTTCTTGCATATTAATATCAAGCAAATTCGTACATAAGTTTCTGATATATATATATAGATATATTCACTTCGTGCGATTTATCGTGAAAGTATATATAATCGATGCGAGTCCATCAATTTAAGAAGTAAAAATGCGTCATTGACAAAGTTATCGATGCATCATTCTCTGTTCTTTTTATCTCTGACTTTTTTCTTATCATTTGTACATTAATTTTTAATTATGAATAAGGACTGTCCCTTTTTTTTATTTTTTGAATCAGAGAAAAATAAGTATTAATTTGATTCTGAGAATTTAATTTTAAAAAAGGTTTAATTTTGAAGAGAAAGTTAAGAAAGAAATCACATTAATATTAGATCTATTATAATTTATCATAATGATAGATTTTAAAATTTTTATAATAATTTATTTAATAATTTATATAAGTTAGTTATATAAGTTAGTTTAATAACAGTTGTAAATTTAAATTAAAATAATATTTTTTAATTAATTAAATTTCTTCTTGTTATATCAATTTTAATTTTATTGATAATGAGAAAAATTGAAATAAATATTTTTTAAACTAAAAAAAATTAAAAATTGATATTTTTAAAAAAATTTTTTTTATTAAAAATTCTGATTTATTCTGACGATATTTTTAAATTTAAGATCTATTTTAAAAAAATTAAATTATATTTAATTTAAAATATTGATAAAAAAATTGAAACGATAATATTATTTATTTATAATTACAAATTTTACTGGACAAAAATAAATAAGTAGATAAATATATTATATTTCTAATAATTTAATCAACACTTTAAATAATCATTTTTAGAAATATTTGAAAACTTTTAATTTTATTATTAAAATATATGACAATTAGACTTTAAGATAAATTTGATTGTGTTATCAAGAAAATTATCGAGAGTAATTTTAAATATTTTGATCTTTGACTGTAAAAAAAATTATTTGTGAAGAAATTGGAATTTTAATTTTCGTGATCAAAGAAATTCTGAGCTTTGAGAAAAATTATATTTATGGTTAAATTTTAATACTTTATCGTTTTATAACATATGCATGAATTGTTATTAAAATTTTTAAGAAATTCATATAAAAATGTTTTATATTTATTATTATATATTCTTTTTCGAAAAAATGATTGTAGACATGAAAAATTAAAATAAAAAAATATAAGAATGAATTTTTTTTTAATGATATACAATAAATTGTGGATCGAATTGCTACTTTACTGAGAATGGAAATAAATAGAAATGAATGATAGATAAATATACGCAATTTTATGATCACTTTGATAATGTCCTGCCATCTATCGGTGAATAGTGGTATAAATCTATGGTTGCACAGAAGATACTATTGTGAGGCCATATTGGAGAACTTTGATTTTTAAAATTTTTGTTAAGATAATTTAAGAAAAAAAAATATATTTTTTAGAATAATTAATTGTTTGATTTTGTTTGATTGATAAAATTTTTATTTTTTTAGAAAAATTTATTAATTTATTAACATAATGCTAAATTTTATATCATTTTATACTTTCTATCTATATTATTTTATACAAATTTTGACATCTTTTTGATAATAAATAATTCGATATATTATTTTTGATTATTTATGTTTAATAATATTTATATTAAAAAATATTACATATAGTAATTTTATAAATTTTTCTTTTAATTTTAAAATTAGAGTTTTTAATTAATGATTCCATTACAGTAAATATTTCCAAAATGTTAGAGATATTAACAGAGAATGTATGAAATAATATTTTATATTTAATTTTTTTTTTATATTTCATATATCTTAAATTTTTAAATTAATAAAAAAAAATCAATCAAATTTTAAATTCAGAATTAAAGAATGGTTTTGATTATTTAAAGTTTAAATGTTATAACATTAAAATTCAAGTATAATATAGCATATAAAATATATTATTTATAAAATATTTTTATAATTAACTTTAATCCAAATGTGTTGACTGTTTGCACTAGGAAAAAAAGAAATATGGAAACATGTTATTTTATAATGAAATTTAATCTTTCCGTAATATTAATATACTATAGCAGTAAAATACAAAGCTCGATAAATTTACGATTAATAAAAGTTAAATAACTCTATTCTGTATCCTATAAAATATGTTCATTACTTGCATCGAAAAAAGAAATAAAGAAATACTTTTATTTAAATCTTAAAAGTGCAAAGTTCATTGAATTTATGATAAGTAAAAGTCATATTCCACGTTAACAATGAAGAAACGTGAAGAGTTGTTAAAACTGTTGATAATAAGAGCTGAAAATGTGAATACGTACTTTTTGACAGCGAAATCACATTATTGTTGGTTCATATTAATCGATCTTGTGTTTAACATTCTATACATAACATCTGCTAATTTTTCTATTAATTATAAATTCTACATTCTTTTTATAAAAAGAAACAAGAAAATAAAATGAAAAAAAATAATAATTAAGCAAAAAATTGAAGTAAAATATGTATGATAAATATTTCCAATTAATCCATCTATTTAGAACGGATATACGCGAATCTTTTCAAATATGATCTTTTGGTATAAATGTAACACTCAGAAAGAAAATGTTTCAATTCAGATCGAATGCAATTTATACGCACAATTAATTATGTAAACTGTAAACTGTTAACACAATATGTAAATTCATTATTGTCAAATTGATCTAAACGTTTCGAGGAATTTTATTTTAAAATGCGTATTTTTAAATCATTCTTTCTATTTTCATTTCTCAAATACGTTTTCGTTAATATTCCATAAAATATGACATTCTTCATTAATTTCTAAAAACTTAGAAATTGTTTCGTTGCTCCATTTCTGATTCGTTACAGGTTAATATGTAATTATTTTTAATTACAATTGACAACTTGATCGAAATTTACATAAATTCACACAGAATACAATTTCACATGGTTGAATACAAAAGTAAAGTTTCCTTACTTGAAGAAATGTTTCAAGTTATGTGAGATATATGTAAATTATTAATTAATTTTAATTATGTTTTAAAAATAGAGCTTGATTTTAGAATATTTTTATTTTCTTTTTGGCATAAAAATTTTCTATCGTCATTATTAATTGAAATTAAATTGACATATATGATCATATCAATGATCGATTAAAAATCTGATAATTTTGATTTTGCAACGAAGATAATAACTTCATACAAGCACAATATCGATATCGATAGCATAGTTAGATATTGCAACGAAATCGTTCTAGTCGTTTCGATATCTATCGACGTATTTCTTAAGGTTTTAACGTCATCATTTAATATCGCGCAAAAAGTTTTAAAGAAGTTATTGGAAGAATGAATGTTGGAAAAAAGTGGTGAATCGTTTTTAAATGATCCTTCATAAAACTACTGATTCGAGGTAAGAAACTCGAAAAATTTGTTTGGATGAATCATCTGAGCTCGTGTGCTCAATCAATTGATGTATTTGTGGATTGATAAGTTGCAAGGTATATACACAAGATACATATTAATTTTTTGATTTTCTAGATTTCTATAATTTATTCTAAATTTTTGCAATTCTTTTTGATTTTATATTTCTGTTAAATTTAAATTTTTTACAGTTTCAGTTTAATAAAATGTGATAAAACAATTGTAAAAAGGATATTTATTTTTTCACCATTTTTGTGTTCAGTGCTATAATAAAAAATTTCTTACATAGATATTCTCAAATATTTTAATTCGTAATCTTATACAAAAGTTTTATATCAGACCTTTTAGCACATTTAGATTGTGAAATGTTCTAACTTTAAAAAATGTAAGATGGATGATCAATGACTTTCAATAACTTGTAACTTGTCACTCATGAAATTCCTTTCTTGTACAAGAATATTAAATTCCTAGTAATAACTAATCACCAATTCTCACCATTCTCATCTGATTAAACCACTCAATTTCCTCTTCACCCAAAATAACTCATTTTTTAAATTTATTCTATTATAATTTTCACCTTCCAGTTTTGAATGATTTTCATATTTACAACAATTTCAAGAAACTCAAGTATTCTTAGACTCGAACTTAAAACTTTAATCTTAAAATCTAACTCAACGAATCTAACTTCCACTCTTAGAAATCTAGAAATTTCAGAATCTAAATTCTACGTTTAAAAAGCCTACTACCTATTGCCTCTCACATCGTCTCTCTCACATTCAACTAAAATCATCACCTCCAGAAGAAAAGTTCCATCACATTTATTGAACGAAGAGCCGAAAACGAAAGCCGATCTTTCCACGACACCCTTTCGTATCTTTCACAGAATTTCGCAACTAAACCTGAATTCCTATCCACGATAGATCGGCGCCATTGTTACATTGCGTCCCGCGATCCGGTCAACCACAGCTTTGACATCGAAAAAATCGTCGAAGGGACACCTGGGGAAGGGAGGAGGGGCACCGCGCGATTCGTGAGGCGCGAAGGGGGGCGGGGGAGTGGCGAGGAAAAATCGTGAGAGGAAGAGCAAAGAGAGAAAGAGATAAAGAGAATGACTCTTTAACCGTGTGTGTCGTGAAAGTTATAGCGGAGCAAGAGGGGATCCTGAATCGCTTCTGGTACCTCTGGTGGATCGTGGCTAAGCCAGTCGCTCGCTCGCCGCTCACCTAAACGGCTTTCACCTGGGCCGATTACGAGGATCCTTGGTCGTCGACCGCCTTCCAACGATTCTGACCAACGTTTCCTCTCCCTCTTTCTCTCTCTTGGCCGTGCGCGCGCTTATGAACACGAAAAACTCGTGGCTCCGTGGCCGGTGATCGGTGATCGGACCCACGACACGTCCGTATGGTGTCTCGTTCCGACGAAAACAGTGATTTCCATTTTTTCCATGCGATCAAAGGGGCACGTCGGATCGTTCCGGTTGCAAGGAAGATACGCAGACTGTCGATAGGTTTCCGCTATAGGCAGAGAGGTTTCACTTTTGTTTGGCAGGTACGTGATTTTCTGCGCTCGTTTTTCCGCGAGGAGAAAGTGTGGGATCGGCGAAGTGTTTTGAATCGCGCGGTAATCTTCGATAAATATATTATTGGGGGGAATTTAGTGGAATGGTGTGTTTCGAAAGAAACGATAAGATATTTGTGAGATATTGTATTGTTATATTTTTCTTTTTGGAAATGCATAGGAGTTATATATCGAGGCTAACTTTGAATCGGTACTTTGATCTTTGATACAGGAGGAAAGAAAGAAAGTAATAATTCGCAATTTTTTTTCTATCTTTTATCTTTACGCAAGCATGTTTTAGGAAAAAAACTTATTCATCTTATTCATCTTAGAGGAAGGAAGAAATATAAATAAAACGAATTTAGTTTGTTTCTTAATTTTAAAAGTATTCTGTATATAAATTAATATGTTAATATACCATTAAATTGGTAACGAAAGTGACGTTGAACATAGTTGAGAAAGAGAAAACAAATTTTGAAATTGAAATTAAACTTTTGTTAATTTTTGTTAAAAAGATTTCAACAGTTGAGTACCATTCCTTCTCTGAAATTCTTATTTCTCTTTCTCTTGGAGGGTCGTATTTTTTCTTTGTTTTGTTTGCTTGTGTTGGTTGCTCGTTAGGGGCACGCGCGAATTCCGATCGGTTCTAAATCTTACAGTTTACAGGAGTATACGTGACCCGTTTCTTTCTTTCGGGGGAGAAGAGTTTCTCCGGCGTGACTGTTGACTTTCTATTATAGCATCTGAGCAACGAGAAATTTCGTAATTTCGTGAATGATCCGATCGCTTCCTTGCCGCGCGATGACAGCTACTTTACTTAGAACCGCTTCGCGATTTATGATCTCCGGTTAAAGACGATGAATGTTGATGAATAAATTATGAATTATGAAAGTAGTTTTCACTTAAAATGTCGACTTATATTCGATTTGTTGATTTGATTTTACTTTATCCAGTTTTTCAATGTATATATTTTGAGATTGTTTATTTAGATTCTTTATTAGATTCGTTAATATTGGATGATTATTCTGTTTAAAAATGGCGATGATCTCGATTGCCAAAATTTAATTATCTTTAGAAAATGCAGGTATTTTGCAGAAAGTTTTTGAACAATACTATAATTTTAATTTCTATGCATAAATTTATTATTTATTATAAGTTTTGTAGAATATTAAATTATAGTATGTATCGAAGGAAATTTATTTTTCTGCTATAAAAATATTTAAATTCTTTATAATTATTTACATAAGATAAGAAGGATTGACGAATATAAAATAAATTTATAGAGTTTAATATATTAAAAAATATATAAACATTATTTTTTTATTAATGAGCAAAACTATCTATATGTTGTACATAATAATTTCTTGCAATAAATCTGCAATGAATCTATTTATAGTAAAAGAATTATTATATTTACCTTTAAACTTTAATATCAATTTAATTTTAAATTTATAATATCACTTTATCAATTCTATTGTAAGAATTTCACAAAGATTATTTCTAAATGGTAAAATAAATATGTGGTTAACTTTTTCCTGTAACTGTTTAAGGAACATACTAATATTCTAATAAATATATAAAAATTAAATCATTTCATGAGAATACATAAAGTTCACAGAAAAAATATTTAAATTTTGATATTTTAATTAGACAAACTTTTTATCGTAATTAAGAGGCTTGAAATTTTTGATAATTTGGTCAAGGAATTATGAAAATAGGAAATATATAATTGCATGTTACAGTCGTTGGATAATGAATTTTCTTATTAATTAAAAAAAAATGAAATATTATAAAAAAAAGATGTATATCATGAAATTAAAAAATATTATAAATACAATGAAACATCAATTTAAATATTATAAACTAAAATGAAAATCAATATTTTTGATAATAAAAAATTATAAAAAGATACGTTTTAAATATAAATATAATTATAAAATCTAACACGTTAATTTAAATTGAATAAAAATGTCACAGATGATAGAATGAAAGATATCTGTATCGCCCTCTAATGAAGTTTCGCTGTCTTATGGGAATGCGAGATTTCTATGTCAGGACTTGCGATTGAGATTTCATTGATCATTTTGCAAGGCAACACGCGAACATTATAACGGTATTGCAAAAGAGACGAGGGCGTGAGGTGGAAATTAGATATTTATAGGACGCTCTGACGCGATTCTCGTGTGTCTCTCTTTTTTCTGTTCTCACTTTCGTTGATTATTCTCCTTTTTCTTCCTTCATTCTGAGTCGTTAATTGGCTGAGGATCAAGGAGATCGCGTAGAAAGCGCGATGTAATTCTTCTTTGATTCTTTAATCGCGGCACGTTGCGTGATCGATGTTATGCTTTTTCGATTAAACGTTGCACAATTGATAGAAAAATGCTTCTTTCGTCGATAGTACGGTAAAACCAGAACATGACACAGCCATTTGAATAATCGAATAATGTTGCTTTTCGTTAGGGTTATTTACTTTCGAGATATATTGTTATAGATATTAAACAAATTTAAAAATTACAATTTAACAATTTTCTTGATCATAATCTTATATAAAAACTTAAACATTGCATATATAATTTTTTTTTAAATTATTTTTTAATTTATGCATGAGATTAAAGAATTATTGAATTAGTTATTTTTAGATATTTAGAAAATAGAAGATAAAGTTTTTTTGTTTCTTTGGTATTGAAATAAAGAAAAATCAATGTGTTATTGATTTTAAATCAAGAGAGTAAATGAAGAAAGATTAAAAGTTCTAGTTTTATTTTGAGTAGTAGTCAATATACATTTTAGAAAATTCAACAAAAAAATCAAATACATCATGTATAATGTAGTTATTACAAGTGTTTCTGGTAATCTCATAAATAATTAATATTTGTAAATCTAATCTTTTATACGATATTTAATAATTAATGTTGCTATTCAATTATATATCGTATTTGAACAGATGAATCTTTCATCGTGGCAGTAATAAAATATCAAAAAGAGGTCATGGAATTACAATAAAGTGAATTAAAATAATTTTTTTTATCGTAAGATTTAATAATTAATAATTAATAATTATAATAATTATAAGAATCATAAAAAGATGTACAAAGTTAATTAAATTGTTATTTATCTAAATCTTATTCATCAATATCTTAATCTTATTTACTTCTTAATCATTTAACGAAACTGATTCACGGTGCAGTCCCTGAATAACGTATTATAGTTTTAAAAAAATGACTTATCTTCCGATTAAAGAGCTTTTCTTTGTAATAAAATTCCCTATTATCTTTACACGATCGTCTAAGGTAACAATACGCCTTAGAACTAGAGATTTTTAAATTAGATATATATTTGCTTTGGTCGTCGGATCGATTAAAATGAAATCCAAGATCAATCAAAAGAAAGAGAAAAATCTAATTTTTGTCGATAAATAACGTATTTGATTTTACATTATTAATAAAAATCATTTTTCTCTTAATGTTTTTCCGCTAAGCCGATCCACTACACAGACATTGACCTAATATGAATAAACAGCATTGAATGATCGTTATCACTTTACTTTTTTGGATTAAAAATGCGCAAATACAAGATTATTTCTTATCAAAGAAACGGTAATTGATAACAATTGATGCACATTGTAATTACTTAAAATTATAGAAACCTCATCGTTCTAGAATGTATCGCAATTGATAGAATAGAAAAAAATATGATATTATAAATATGAGTGATAAAATAGTAGAATAAAAAAGTAAGGAATGCCAAATGATTCAATGTTATTCAATTTCTAAGAATTTTAATCTGATTTGATTTTAAGATTTGAAGAATCATGAAATGAAATATTTATAATAAAGAAACAATAAATACATGTATACAAATGAAACAATTTTTGAAATTAATTTAGAATTTTTTTAATAAATTTAAATTTATTTAAGTTTCAAAATAAAATTGAATTGATTTGAAAGAAATTTAAAATTTGAATTTTTGTTAATGTTTTTTAACATTTATCTAATAATAGATATGATATTTTATTTTATTTTATTTTAATCATATTTACATATATATTTTTAATATGTATATCTTTTAATATTACAATTTTCTAAATAATTATCTAATCATCTATTCTAAACAATCATCAATGTATCTTTATAGATTGAAATTTTTAAAAATTTTAAGAATTTTTATTTCATTTCAAAATTGCTTCGTTATTTATCATTTCTTTATCACGAATCTTAGTCATCAAGAATAAAATGTATTTATAAATATTAAAGTTATTGTGATCCAAGAATCATTGGAATTCTATTCTCGACCACAAAGTGTGATTTAAAGTATAGAAACTGTTTCTTGCCATTGGAAGTTTATTGGTCTCGTCATTATCAAGGTAACTGTTTTTCACATAAAAATTGTGTCTAATTACATTGAATTACTCGAAATGCGATACATATCTTGCGTACAGATATCGATACATAATACTTCCGAGAGATTTCAATGCCCACAGTGGATGTAATGCTACTTCTAATGTTGCTTCGATCTAATAGACTAGACTAGCAATATCATGTATCAATATTATTAGGATGAGAATCTTACTTTTTCTTTTGTTTGTTTTAAAAACGTGAAATCGTTTGGAAAGTTAGTTACGTCAAAAAATCATATGGAAAATAGTGAAAAATTTTTTTTATATTATAATGAAATTCAGAAGTAATTTTGTCTATTCCATTTAATAGAGATTTACTAATAATTTACAATTTTATAAAATATCCATTATATTGCGATAACTTAAATAATAAAAATAGATATATAATTAATCATTCATTATACTTCAAAATTCAACAACGATTCATAAGAATTTCATATATTCTATCACTATATGTCATCTATTCAGCGTGTCCTTCTGATTATCTTCTTTATATTAGCATTATCATTAAAAATTGATTTAAATTATTCAATAAGAATAGGAAAGCGGATTAGTAGTAACTTTTATCCAATGGAATTATTAGAAATAAAAAAGA